TTCCCCAAATCCTAATGGGTTGGTAGAGTTATTATCCTCTTTCTACAGACAGAGAAATAGAGGCTCAAGAGGTAAAGGGAGTAGCTCAGGATGACCACCCAGCTAGCAAGTAGCAGAGAGTTGAACTGGAGGCTGTCTGCTTCCAGCACCTGTCCTCACATCACAGGCAGCAGCATCCTAAGAGGAAGGGCCAAGAGATGAACTGTTTATATCTCGTGGGGGACGGGGAGGCCTCAGGAGTCCCTGTTTAAGTGGGGGAAGGGTGTGATGCTGGGTTGGAGGAACCCCGTCCCTTTCCCCCAGCCAGGCCTGACCTATGGACCATCTGGTGACCAACTATCCTGGTTTGTCTGCAACCTTCCCAGTTTGAGCCCTGAAAGTTCCATGTCCCAGTTTGCCCAGGATGGTTGGTCACTGTGGTCTTGGTCACCCCCGGACCAGTTGCAGAGAAGGCTGAGTGGCCTGATGGAGCTGTGTCAGCACAGCCTGGGAGGCCTTTCCAATTACATTAGCTTCTGGTAGCACTAGAGGGAGACGCTAGCCCTCGCCTCCCCTCCCTTTCTCCTTCCTGTGACTCCCTGGGAGATAGTGATTCAGCAGCAAGTCGAAAGCAGGCTACACCGTGACCTACCAGGAGTGGAATCACCAGTGGTATAGGGGCTGTCAGCACCACCTCCAGGCAAGAACTGAGCAAGGAGGGGAGGTGGGAAGGGGTTCTTGAGTGGTTCAGGAACTGGACTCTGACAGAGGGCCTGCTGTCCTGCCCAGGCCAGGACTGATTGCAGGGCAGCGGGAGGTGGGCATGCCAGAAGGGAGAGCCCTGCCTTTCCCCCCACCATGCCCTGGTATGTGAGGGATGCGGGAGTCCCAGCCACTGGATACGTAAGCTGCTTCTCATACTCAGCGGCTAAAAATATGCAATGGCTTTGCTAAAAGGTGCCCAAAGGAAACCTACAAGAGGTTTCCTATTAGGGCCGCGCCGGCTCGGGCTGGAGGCCAGATGCTGTGTGAAGGATTCCTATGCCTGCCATTCCGACCATCTAGTCCCAGCCTGGCACCTGCCCCCCTGCCAGGGCCTCAGCCTCCACCCCATTAACCCATGTGCTTCTCAGGCCCCCAGGGCCTTGCGTTGCCCTCCCTCCCCTGCACCCCCTGGGTGGGAGCATTTGGGGTTTGGTCTTGAACCCCAGAGCAAGGCCCGGGTCCTCGGCCACCCAATCGCAGCCTCACCTACTCACTGTGTGACCTTGAACAGGTTGTCTAGCTTCTCTAAGCTTTGCTGTCCTCACCTGCAAAACAAGGAGACCTCAGGATCCAGAAGCCCTTGGTGGGAAGGGCTCGCGCTCTGGTTGAAAAAGAGACCGGCCAGGAGATTTGTCTGGAAGCTCAAGCTTATTGTGCTTTACCGAGCGTAAATGTTTCTTAGGGGTGGCTGGGGTCCTGCTGGAGATTATGGTACAGTGACTGCAGTGCCCCTTGGTACAACTCCTGCCTACCTGTCAGGGTTGTAGTGACTGGGCAGAGACTCTGCTGGGCCCCAGGCTCTCAGCCAACACTGGCCCAGCCTCGGGACCCCCAGCGGGTAAATGCAGACACTGTGTTAGGTCAGGTCGTGATGGGGCCCCACGTCTGACTTTGTAACTGGCTCTCCAGGTGAACCTGTTGAATGACCAGGTCGAGAGTCGCTGACGGGGCCTGGCACAGAGCGGGCCCTCGGCCCCTGTGAACTATGTCCCTCGCCTACTCCTGAGCCTTAGCGGGCTTCCCTGTCACATGGTAATGACCTGCCCATCTCCCCTCTGGGGCTGTTGACAAGCTCAAAAAGAATCCTGGGCAGCTGCAGCTGCACAAACGGGGAGAAGATGACCATCACTGCGAGGAAGCCACCCCCCTTCTGGGCTGCTGGCAGCCAGGGGTTGGGCAGTGAGCCATTGTGGTCCCCGGCCCAGAGGCTTCTCCTGCAAGACCAGAAGGAAAATGGTGGGGCAGGGGAGGGCAGTACCCCCTTGCCCTCCACTCTCTGCCCTTCCCCAGGCCCCACTCTGCAAAAAAGCCTGAGCAACAAATTCTCTCCTTGGGAGACGCAAGTCTGCTAGGCAGGACGTAGCCTCCGTACAATGTTCTCCTCACTGGGAATTCTCCCCACGGTAGGGCTTCAACCGGCACGGCCAGGCACTCCGGACGGTCTCTCCCCGTCTCCCTCCTGCCCCAGGGAGGTGACCCTGGCTCAGGCTTTCCTGGACTGCCAGGTCGAGGATGGGGGCAGATGGGAACTCTCCCACCTGCCTTTTGGAGGCAACAGACTCAACAGGTTTCCCTTTCCCCCCATCCTTGTTACAGTATCATTCGGGCAGGTGGGCTTATAAACCACAGCCCTTGCCCAGCTTGGATGACCTTGGGCAGTGGCTGAACCTCTGTTTCCTCATCCGCAAAATGGGGATGATAGGACCTCCATAGTGTGGATGTGAGGATTGATAGAGGCTTGAAATACCAAGGAGTTCCTCAAACAGGGCGGCTGGTAAGGGGAAGGTATCAGAAATGCATGTTCCGGGCCTCAGCCCCAGCATTCCGACTCACTGGTTTCTGTGTCCAAACTTTGGGAAACATAGAAGCCTCGGAGAGGGGGATCCCCTCATCCTTGGCTGTGGAGGCAGATCACCTTGGAGCTTAACAAATGCCCCCAAAGCCCAGGCCACCCCCCAGATTCATAGGATCGGAATCTCGGTGAGTGTCCATGAGGGTGACTCCCTTCCCTGTGAACCTGCTGCCCTTTCCTCCAAGAGACCCCCTCTTTCCAGCAGGCAGACCTAGCTGGCCAGTTGGCATATTTTCTTTGATCCCAGGGGAAACGGAAGGCATTTCCTCTAGTCTCCACATTGATCACCATCACCATTCCCTCCACCAGCTCCACACTGAGCACTTAACAGACCTCCAGCGTCCTAGAGGTTCCCCTGAGGATTGGTGGATGAAGGGGTGCTGGGAGGGGCCAAGGGCAGGAGGGCAGTGGGGGCAAGTAGCCTGCTGCTGAGTCTGGGTTAAATCCTTGCTGCAGGGCAGGGAAGGCTCCAGGCTGGGGCAGCTCCGGGCACTGTAAAGCTGTCAAGTGCCTCAGGACACCAAACAGTTATTGTCAGTGACAGGATTTGAATCCAGTGCTCACTTACTCGGAAGCTCAACCTTTGTTCCTGTCCATGCAGTATGCCCTGCCTCACCCCTACTGAATCCCAGGTTCCCAGCCTGAGCTTTTCTGGTCAACATTCAACCTACAGCCCCTATTTATCCATCACTTATGCCAGGCCAAGGGATGCAGTGGGAGGGAACAAGCCACAGTGTGACCTCACGGAGCCTTGGGTCTAGGATGGGGGCAGACTCTAATCAAAGGGTCACACAAATCTGTAATTACGCAGAGGCCAGCAGGGGGAGGATGTCGGGGAAGACAGGTTGAGGAGGTGACATTTCAGTCGTGACTTTTAAGGGCTGAGTGGGCAAGAGCAAGCAATGTAAACAACGGGGAGGGGAAGCGCTGCAGGGGAGGGGAGGGGGCTCCCGGCGCGTGGGGCAGGGCCTGGGTTCTAGCGACCACCCCCGGGGCCTCAGTTTCCCTATTATCGAAGTGGGTGGAAACGTGCCTCACCCTCCCCCATCGGAGGACGGACGGGGGAAGGAGCCTGGGAAAGGGCACGAGCGGCCCACCGAGCCCATCCAGTTGGGCCGGGGCGGGGCGGGGCAGGG